TCCCTCCCTTCCTCCCTCCTTTCTTTCTTTCTTCTTTCTTTTTTTCTTTTGTTCTCTCTCTTTCTCTTTTTTCTATCCCCTTCCTTCCATCCCTCCCTCCATCCCTCCATCCTTTCTCTTTCTTTTTTTCCTCCCTCCCTTCCTTCCTTTTCCTTCCTTCTTTCCCACCCTCCTTTCTTTTCTCTACTTTCTTTTTTTCATTCTTCCCTCTCTTTCTTTTCTTATCCCCCTCCTTTCTTTCTTTCTTTCTTTCTTTCTTTCTTTCTTTTCTCTCTTTCTCTTCTTTCCTTTCTCTTTCCTCCCCTCCCTCCCTCCCTCCCTCCCTCTCTCTCTCTTTCTTTTTCTTTCTTTTCACAAATGGGCTTTACCTTACAGAGGGCATGATAACGGGGAAATAAGCAACCCCCCTGGAATTATGGCCAATGAACCTGCCGTGCTCAAGGCGAGGCGGATGCGTTGCTGCAGAACACAGGAGCAGAAATGGGGTAGAAGTGACAGGAAAGCAGATCTTTGCTAATCTTTACTATTTTATACTAGCTGTACCTGGCCACGCGTTGCTGTGGCTCAGTCTGGTTAAATGGAAAAGAAAGAAAAGAGAAAGCGCACGTTTGTAAATATGTTTAATTTCACAATGCTAGCGTGTGTTGCTTTTACGTCCAACAGAGGGCGCTGTTTTTCAAAAAAAGCATGTTTTAACCTGTCACAGGTGTGACATCTATATAATAGTAGGTATAAGGTATATAAAAACACGCGCGTATTCGAATGCAACGTTGTTTCAAAATTTCAAAGCAATCAGTGAAGAACTTTTGGAGATTTCAGATTTTGAACAAACAAACATTTACATTTTTATTTATATAGATTATTTGTAGAGATTTGCATATGCCCTTGTTTCCCCACCTTGGCAACTTTAAGCATCGCTGGCTGGGGAATTCCGGGATTTGCTGTTCATGTCTTGAAGTGGCCAAGGTTGAGAAGCACTGGCATACACTTCAAAGAATCCTGGTTATCGACAGAGAAAAAACAAAATCAAAGTGCAACTATTGCCAAAAACTAATTAGCAAAAGGAGGTCCTTCTGCCTCCAGCCCCTAAACACTCAGCAGAAAAGTTAAGTTCTTCAACCACCTCTTGAAGGCCAAGAATTGAGGACATCCTGTATCCTAGTCCAGAGGTCCCCAACCTTTGGGGCACCAGGGACCGGTTCCGTGGAGAAAGGTTTTTCCGTGGGCTGGAGGGGGCGTGGTTTTGTATGCTGCCTGCATCCCACAAATGGGGCTTTGCTTGTTTGTGCGGACCAGTTGCTGGCATGCCGTGGCCGGCACTGGTCCATGGACTGGGGGTTGGGGACCCCTATCCTAGGGGACAAAGGATTGGACCTTTCTTAAGATGACATGGAAACCCTCAGCAGACCCTCCTCTTGGAAGTTGCTTGAGTTGGGCTGAATGGCTGTCTCATTACCACTTGGGTCACTTGGGCTAAATTTGCTCCCCACAATTGGTGAATGGGTTGATGCATTTTGTACCCGTGGAAGCTCATCTCCCAAGGGACCTCACGCAGAGCATCTCAAAGGTACTTTTTCAAAAAGCAATTGGGCTTTGTTTCTTCTTTTTTTTTTCTGTTAAATTTTTTATTTTTTGTAAAATATACATCTTCCAATATACACAATACATTAACTTTAGCTTTCCCCCCATACCCTCCTCGGCTTCCCGGAGCTGAATACAGGATCAAGTTCATATTTCCATAATTCTTCTACAATCATTAATCCAAAAAACAATTATAATGCTAACAATCTACACACCCCTTTAACTCCAAATAAAGTATTACAACTATACTAATTTATAATCTACCTAATCCTTAAA